TTGATCCCTGCTTTCCCCTCCACTTGCTAATCCTTAACAAAAGGAAAGTAGGAATCAAAGTGCTGCAGGATCACTTTGATCCCTGCTTTCCCCTTTGCTTGATAAGTCCCAAGAATCAAAGAAATCCCGTGGCTGTATAAGGGGGAAAGGGATCGAAACAATCGTGCAGTTGTGGGAGTACTTTGATCTCTTTCACCTTCCTTTTGTTAAGCCCCATGGGGCTTGGCACAAAGGGAGAAAGCAGGGATCAAAGTGATCCTCCAGCACTTTGATCCCTTTCCCCCTACACTTGCTAAGCCCCACTTCGATTTCTTAATTTTGTGTTAGAAAAGTGGGGCCATCTTATACACAGAAAAATACGGCATATATTGATCTTACAAGTACTCCTGAGAGGAGCTTGAATATTGTTGGACGGTATGTAATTGGTCAATAATTAGTGAATAATTGCCCTTTTGATTATCTTTTATTATCAGAAATGTGTGGCCTGTTGTCATCCAGTCTTAAGTTGTATGTAGAATTTTGGAGTAAGTGTTTACATTGAATGGATGAAAACTTGTTAGATGCTTTAACTAAAATCTGTGCACCTCATCTGAGCCAGGTTCACTCCAATTTTTCACAATATTTACCTGCCTCTTGATCATTTCAGTTGTTATTACAATATCATCCATTTGTTTTCCTTGAGTTTCTTTAAAAATGTCTTTAATCCATGAGGCATTTTGTTATGTCCAATTGGGCTTTCCCACACTTCTTTCCAAGATTTAAGAGCATCATCTTTACATAGGCCTAATTTCTTTTGCTCTTCATTTTCTCCTGGTGATGTATAATCATTGGTTATTTCAAAATTTCATGTTTTCTCTATATTGTTCAAGCATCCGTCATGCCCTTCAATTTTCGTTGCTGTAGCTGTTACCCACTGTTTTAATTCTTCTATAATTTCAACTATTGTTTCCTTTTCTAGGTCATATATTTTGCATAGTCTCGCTTTTTTTTTATTTTTAAGTTTTGAATCTTTCAAGTGTTTTAAGTTACTAATGTCTGCACATAACTTATTTGTTTATTTGTTGTTGTTAGATATATGATACAGTTATCTCTTTTAAGATTCCATTCTCCCTTCAAATTGGAGTTAAAAGAGGAGCATAGTGCTTTTTAAAAAGTTCCTCTGCTTATTATTTCCCTGCTTTTAACAGAACAAAGCTAAAGAATCATTTTACTATAATGTTGCAAAGCCATCAGTCAAATAATCAAGCTACGATTTGAGTCTACTGTTAATTTTCCTTGAAAAGTTCAATGCTCCTACATTGGTAATTTCAAACTCTCAGTACTAAGTGCACGCAGTTGCACTTAGGTAGTGTCCCCAGGGTATATTACAGAGATTCATAAACATAAGAATCTGGCAGCATTAACACATTTTTCGTAGTCTCCAAATGCCAGATAGTAGATTATTTTCACATCATTAATTATCACGATTGTCAGAAAATGCCAGAATGGTAATATTTTTGTTGAAGAACATTTGTATCTTCAGAAAATAATGATTTGCTGGACCGTCCGATATTAGCCTATCATTAGGCATTCAGTACTCAGTTAAAGTTTTAAGAGAAGCTGCTCATCTATGCTACTAAACTCCTGAAATGGTCTCAGCATGCAGTGCTGCAAGGATTGTTTCATTCTGCAGGGTTTTTTTTAAATAAAATTCCAATATACATTTCAATTGCTAAATTTTCTCTTTAGAGTAAGACACTCAGAATTCATCCTGAACTAATCAAAGGGAGTCTTTAAACTACCTTAAGGAAAATACTGCCAGAATGTCAGGCTCGGAGCCTGACACTTTTTTTGTCTTTAACTGGAAAGAAGGGTCATAAATTTGCTGATTTTCAAATATGTAACCGTGTTGGTCTGATTTTGCTTATGTAACAAAAGCTAAAACAAAACTATTGTGGCATCTTTAAGACTAACAGATTTAGTTCAATATGAACTGCTCCTCGTGAAGGTTAATCAGCTCAGGATGAATCCTGACAAAACTATGTTGTTCACCAGATCTGGAAGTCAGTATTTGTTGTTCAACTGCTTCTGCAAAGGGTGGCTCCCCTGAAAATAAGAATGTGACAGTTCCTCAGCAAATGTCTCATGCATGACAGTTTTGGAGCAGTGTCATATCAAGTTGTTCTGTTGAGACTTTTCCTGCAGAATTTCTGAAAATTCTCTGAGAATGATCCTGTCTCTCTCTCTCTCAAGCTCTTCTTTCTTGCCATATATTCCATAATTTGGTTTGTTTTAATTGTCTTAAAAATCACTGCTGAGAAGATGACATATCCTGTAATTAAAGACTTCCTCCTCCCATCCTGCAGCTTCTACGGCTTCCCAACAATGAAAGAGATTATATGGAGCCTTGGGTGCTTTGGGAATACTTGTTTGAAATGTTTAATTTCAAAAAAGTACCATTGCTGATGATGTCATCAGCCTCACTCAGTGTATGTTATGGCAAAAGGATTTCAACAATTGCTTCCAAAGTTGGATGTTAGCATCAAGACCAGATTACCTGCATTTTTTTTTCCTGCACCATATTATGCTGGAACTAGGTCTTTTTTATTTGTACAGGAAATGCTGCCAAGATTTCCTGCAAGATTTTTCTCCAAAGACATCTCACAGGAGAGAATCTCAAAGTGAGAAGAAAAGGGGTCTCCCACTTACTCAGTTCTTGGAAAGAGAAGCTGTGGACTCACTCTACTGAAAAGAAGAGGCATGTAATTCCAGGATACTCCTTGCTAAACACTGCTACTAAACACCATTTCTGGTTCACCAGCTGTTGTCTATCCGTAGTAGTAGGAGAGCTTAGCTACAGTGAGTTGCACGCTGGTGTTCTCCAGATGGATTATTGTAAAATTTTATACAAAGGGCAAACTTTGTACACATCTGAATATGTCAGCTACTTGAGAATTTGGCAGCAGAAATTTTTTTACAGGTTTATTAAGAAAAGCTGCTTTATGGTAAGTCTTAAAGAACTGCAATTGCTGCCTATTTGCTTTCAAGCTCCAGGGCCTAGTAGATCCTCACTCAAATTGCTGTTATTCCTAGACACTGAGCCTCTTTTGTTTTCAGAAATAATTATGTATGGAAAATGGGAACCGGGATCTCATGTGCCATGATGTTGGGATATGTAGTCAGAGAAATGTAAAATGGGGTCAGACAGGTTCTGTGTGAAGATGATTTGAGAGACATTGGAATTTTTTTTTTAAGTGCCATGAGAGTGTTTTCCTGAAGACCCATACAGCCTGGATCTATATAGCGTGAAGACCAAATTGAGAGGCCTGTGGAAGACTCAACATTCCAGGTCAGCAGCAGAAGAGATAAACAACACCTGGACTCTCGTGGGAATAAGGAAAGGAGAGAGGTGGTACAACCTCTAAAGGTTAATTGGTTAACAGCCAGAAAGGCCATTAAAAAAGGAAGAATTTGGGAAGGTAGAAAGTGGACGATGGGTTATGCGAATTATGTTCAATGGATTCTGATGGTTTGTGTATTGTTCTGTTATGGATTTTGATTCCATGATGATGGGAGATAAAGGACTTGATTGATAAAAGATGTAAGTAAGGAGAAAGAAGGAGGTGGGGCTAGCCTACTATAGCCCACCTTAGTTTGAGCTTTTTAGTGTTTATTATTTTAAATGGGAAATAGTTATTTTATTTAACTGCAATGATCTTTGGATATGTTCTTGATGCTAACGCTTATGCAATATTAACTGATTTCTAATGAAACTCTATTTTTCTAATAAAAATTAATTATAAAAAATTCCGCAAAAGGACTGGTCTCCTGAACAGCGGGGTCTGGCTAAATCCAAGAGGTGGAGAGGGCCACAAACTAGCTATCATTTAAGAGTCCTACCTAATTTTTATTTATTTATTTGATTTTTACCCCACCTCTCTAGACAACGTCTACTCGGGGCGGCTACCTAACTGAGCTTTGGTGAGTTCTAAGGAATCACAAAGCTCATGTGCCTGTACTTGCAAAGTGCTAAGCAAGTGTAAAGTGCTCTTTTAAGGTAAAACTTGATCAAAGGATTTATACTACACACTGCTGAGATCTTGGGACTTGCCTCAGTGCAAAGGTGGTAGATAAGTGCCTGGTAAGCTCTGTGGTCGAATGCCCAGTGGCTCTTTAGGGGGTCTGGTGCATTACTTAGGAAATGCTTAAATAATAGGCATAGTTATCTGTGAAGATTCTCAGACATCCAGGTGAGGTTATCTGGAAGTTGAGTCATGGCAACTGCACTTCTTTCTTATTAGGTTGAAATGTTTCACCGGGATGTGTAGCAAAACATTTCAGCCTAATAAGAAAGAAGTCCATTTGTCATGACTTAACTTCCAAATAGGCATCATAGTTATAGTTGTTAATAGCAGCTGTGGCCTGCACAGATTTTAGTGCAAATGGTTTAATGTTTAAATCTTTACGTGTTCTAACTCTGTATTTTAAATTGTGTGATTTTAAATTGTTTTAATCATCTTATGATTTAAAGTTGTGTTATATAGCTCTGTAACCCGCCCTGAGATCCTGTGATATAGCACAATAGCCAGGCAGACAAATAGATAGAAATACTCCCAGTATGAAACAGTAAAAAAAATGCATATGTAGTATTTGTCAGCACTTACTATAAGGGTAGTTGTCCTCTGTTGTGTGGATCTGACTCTCATTTCTGTAGAGTTTGTAAATCAGCTGGTTTGAATTCGGAGAGTCAGGTGGATTCCACGTGACCTCAATAGCGGAAGAATTTAGAACCTCTCCTGCTGGTGGAGGCTGCTGGGAGGGAACTGTATTAAAATGAAGACATGTTCATGCAGTTGAGGCCATCACTCAATGTCTTCGTAAATCCAAATGCATACAAAAAGCTTCTTCTTCCAGGACTGTTGTCAAGCAGCAGACATGTTACTCATCAAAATAACATTAAGAAAAGCCATTGTTTTTCATTTTTCAAAAAAATGTAAGAAAGCTTCAGTCTAGTCATAAACATACAAACAAAAAAATTTATGCCAGCCAAACCAGTGTACAGAAGAAACCAGAAATGTAAGACTTGTAAATCATATTCATATTAGTCACACTTTGGAGCTGATGATTCTAAGCTAAGCCTAACCCTTCAACATTTTTTTTGTTGAGCACAGTTGTCTGCAAAGGAATTCACTCAAGCAGGTGTGACATAACCACAAAAGCTATCTATGCAGGTGTCCCAGGCATATAGCGTGTCTACACAAGAGCAGTTCCCCATGCGCAGGGTTTCCTTTTGTAACAGGCAGCCCTAACCTTACCTGTCCGTCACAGCTGGGCAATGGATCATCAGCCAATGGGGTGACGGAGGGGGAAGCTGGAGAGGGAGGAGCTGGAATTAAAAGGGGTGTGAACAGGGTGTGGAAGATCAGATCTGGTGTGTGAGGGAGAAAGAGCTTGTTTAGAGGCCTGTGTGACTGGATAGTCAGTGAGGGAAAGTCTCCAATTTTATTTGAGAAAGAGCTTGTTTAGAGGCCTGTGTGACTGGATAGTGAGGGAAAGTCTCCAATTTTATTGTGGCGTGGCTGGCCACTCTGATGTCACTGCCTCCTCAGGCCTCTCAGAATGCCCACCACATCACTTCACACTCGCTGCCACCAATTCTAATGACTATTTAAGAAGGACAAAGGTATCCTTCAAAACAAAACAAGTTTATTGATAACAAAATAAAATATGAAAATCACAAGTAGCTAATCACGATGTCAATCACTGCTTCTTATTTAATTAATCACAGACTTTCCCTCACTGACTATCCAGTCACACAGGTCTCTAAACAAGCTCTTTTTCCCTCACACACCAGATCTGATCTCCCACACCCTGTTCACACCGCTTTTTATTCCAGCTCCTCCCTCTCCAGCTTCCCCCTCCGTCACCCCATTGGCTGATGATCCACTGCCCAGCTGTGACGGACAGGTGAGGTAAGGGCTGCCTGTTACACCTTTGCAGACAGCCATGTTTCATTAACAGTTGGAGGCAGGGTTACAAAGGGGATAATGAGAAGCCTAGCCATACCTAGTTCTTCACAGGATTATTTTCTTAAGGAGATGACCAATTTACGAAGCAGTTGGATTTTTAACATGCTTCCTGACCCAGTTTCTAGTGATGCTCAGTAACTTGACTTGGCATGCAACTAGGATGTTATTAATTGGTAGGTATTTACTCTCTGAATTATGCCAGTTCACTCATACAAGCCTTATCATTTGCTTGAATTCTAACCCATGTGTACTTTTAAAAAAACACACAGAGAGGAATTATCAGCAAGAAATGATTCATTTTTTTAAAAAAATTACTTTTTTTCAAATATAAACAAAAAATAAAACATCCAATAAACATCCAATTAAAAAAACCTATACAGTACTCCCCACCACTGGAACTACTGTATAGGAGTAACGGCCTATACCATTTACCCTTGTGAAACCCCATCTCCTTTCTAGAATTGTATTGACTCTTGCATCGGGCTTTGTCCCTTTCCCTTTTTTGATATAAAAATTGATAAATACTCCCTATATATCTATAAATACATTTTTACCAGTGACCCCCCATCTTAACTTTTTTATATTACATGTAAATTTATCATTAATTGCTATGCCCTGGACTTTCCTATACTGGTCACTCAACTGGATATTATGATTTCTCATAATATCCCGGTGATAATCAGCCCCGTCACTGTTAACAAATGGGATACTTATCCTCTACTTGTCCAGTTACCTATCATCTATTCAAATATTGATAAAATATTAAAATATTTGGAGTAGTGTGCTCTAAAACAAGCTCGACTTGAAATTCTATTTCAAAATACCAAAATACTGCTGGACAACACCAGCAATCATTACGTCAGACTGCACAGGGAAGCCATTGAAATCCACAAGCACCAGCAGAACTTCAACAAAAAAGAGGAAAGTTTGAAACTCAACAAAACTTGGCTCCCACCTTTCAAAAATACAGAGTGCAAAAGGTCAACGAACTCTACCCAGTCACAAGGACTGGGGATCACTGCACACAAAAGACCAGCTAATGACACCCATCAACCACAGCGATAGATAATCTCTCCTTCTTATCACAACAATATACCCACAACAAGACACACTAATCACCCATCTACAGAAAAAGACAAAAGCCCATCTCACAGCCATAAATATCCCCAAACCAACTACACCAGAGCACAGAGTGCTGTCGGCCACAGAGACTGGCAAAACGTTAGGAAGAACTTTCAGAACACGGCCAAAGAGCCTGAAAAACCCATAACAACGAATAATATTATTTTTAACTTTACCTATCACTTCTTCTATTTGTTCGTCATTCTTTATTTTTCCCTTACCACCCTTTATTCTAAAAACTGATCTTTTTATTATTAATTTCTCAATTGAACCTTTTAGGTTTCCTGGGAATTTTTCTAGCTCTGCCACCAGGTGTCATGGGGAAACTGATAGGATAAATATTTTTCTACATCTATTTCAAATTAGCAGCATATTTTTAAGGAAGATTTTTTTCTGTATTTTTTACTATATAGCTGGAAAGGATGCCTGATGGACGTTATAATTGAAGATGGGGATATTCATATTCCTATATGAATATGAATATCCCAAATGCAGCTGGACCTAATGTGGGTCTGGCCCCCAGGACTGGACCATCCACTCACAGGTCTTGCCATGGTGACGTTCTCGCTCAGCCTACCAATGGTGTCTGGAGTGCTCCAGTCTTCCTGCTCAGCTGGTCACTCCAGGCAGGGAGTGGGAGGATGAGTCTTCTCGCTGTTGAGTGGACAGCCAAGCAGGAAGAGAGCAGCATTCCAGGTGCCATTGGAAAGAGGAGCAGGATCAGCACTGTGGCAGGATGTGTAAGTGGGGCTGGACCCTCATTAGGTCCAGCTGCATGAGGGATATTCGTATTCATATGCAAATACGAATATCCCAATTTCTAGTTATAATTATTCATCACTCATATTAGTAGTTTGTAAAAATTGATCCTGAGTGATGGGGAAGACATTTTCCCAACTCGTACAGGCTCATATCTGGAGTTGCATTCATGGAATAATGCATCTTTCCAGTTGTTTCTCTACTGATTCCAGTTCTTAATTGTAAGATTCCTATATGGGATTTTAAATTTAATATTCCAAAATTTCCTGTATATTTTGAAATATTTAAATATCAGCAAGTGTTGTGAAGCATTATTTAAAAATATAATTTTAAAGTTTGGTGTGTTTCATATAGAAACACTGGAGGAGGAAACATGCCCCCTTCTGTGCAGAATATCTTCTTCCGACCTATAATTATTCATTATGATCATAACAAATTTGTTGCCCTATATAGTGGTCAGATAATTGCCTTCCATTTTAGGGATTGCTTTGCAGAAGAAACAGTAGCAATTCTCTGAAATTATGGTACCGTATGTGCTGCTGTATGATGAAGAGAGTGGGTGGAGTGTGTGTACATATATTGATCTTGATTTTAAGGTGTGAAATTACACACATTACATCCCTTTACAGCCTTAAAAGCTACACAGCAAAGAACTTCACAGTCTTAAACACAATGCAATCTTCCTTTTAGGAAGCCAGAATTTTTTCCTAAGAGAAACGGAACAACTGTAAAGGGGGAAAATGTTTTATCGACCTTTTTGAAACTACAAAATTATCACAGTAGCAAACTTTTAAGACTGTACAAACATATTAACCCTTCAACATTGCAGCAATATGTAGAGGGTTAGATTTTCCTTCCACAGCAACATGACAAAAAAGTAACTAGGGTGCAGCAACCACAAAAGCAGAATACTACAAAATACTACTGCATAGCTGCAGTTGAGCATATGTTCAAGAAAGAATACCCACCTAACCGCTTGATAAGCTGGCTATCTGCACTTACAGACAGAAGACATGAAATATATTCAATGGGCTTCTCTCTTAGGATTATTTAGAATTTACTGGCAGAGTGCAGCTACCTTATGCTGAGCTTGTGTCTATTGACAAGAATGGGAAGTAAGGCAAACAGAAAACCAAAGAATTAATTAGGGGAAAATGTAGAAGGAAAGATGGTAAAGACAGAGAAGCCCCCTGAATCTGACCTCTGTGCTTCTCAGTCTGCTACTGTGCCTAACACGGAAGTACCAAGAAGAAACAGGAAATCTCAGGAAGAGAAGAAAGGAAGCCTAAGAGTACCAATCTGCATGTAGACCTAGAAAATATCAACCACTGGAGATACATGTGAGCTATCATATCTGTCTGTGCTCTATTTCAGGCATTCTCAACATTGCTGACAACTTTAGCAACATGGCAACTGTATCCTTCACATGCCCCAAGATGTATTGCCATTGTGGGCCATCGGGGGAAGGCAATGGTAGGAACCACAAAATACAGTGTGCCATACTTCTGTAAAGGAAAAATTCTGCAAACTCGTCTACTTTTTCTCTGTAGAGTGAGAAGAAGAAAAATCAGCTCAGCTTTAGAATTAAGAGTATGAATGCAGTGCTTCATGTTCAGCAGCTCTGCAGCTGCTTGAAAGATGAGTGTATGCCTGTCTTTTTCTAACTGCAAACACATGCCATGAAGAACTGTCTCTATGATATTGGCATAATAACTTAAATATTTCAATGTTGATTAATTTAAAGTTTGCAATCTAATTGTACATTGCCTTTTTAGAAGACACACATCCATTTTACTCATTCTGATGTATGCATAATTTTATCTAGAGATGCAGTGTAGGATTTATGCTGGTGAGCAGAATTGTTATATCTTTCTTAAAAAGGAGTACATTAAAAAAATCTAATGCAGATAACAGTTAATGATCTTGCTGCTATATCAGAACCTAATCTCACCTTTTAAGACTTGAAAGAGGAAATATATAATTTGGAATGAGGTACATTAGGGATTATTGATGTTGACGCATATTCAACTCTTATCCACTAGAAAGATTCTATTTTAATGATCCAAAGTAGAGATGGGGACATTCGTATACAAATACGAATATCCCCCCACAGGTGGAGATAAGCCATGGGGCTAAATGGTTCACTCACGATTCCCCTCCTACTGTGAGCTTGACAGAGCCTTCTATTGCTCTGTTGCTCGCAATGGATTAGCCACTCTGCAACCTGGCAGAGAGACTCGTCATCCCACCTTCTGCCAGGACTGGCTAATCTATCTCAAGCAACGGAGCGATAGCTAGGCTCCATCAAGTTTGCAGCAGTGAGGAAATCGTGAGCGGACTGCCCAGCCCCATGGGGCTGGACCCTTGTTTTCTCCACCTGTGGGGGGATATTTGTATTCGTATACGAATATAAATACTCCCATCTCTAGTCCAAAGGATAGGAGCTGGCAACTGATGGTAATCATATTAGCAAAGTTGAAATTAATACACAGGATATCTTGAGGACTCTATGGAAGAAAAGTCCTGTCCTTTTCACTAACTAAAGATTCCTTGCAACTACAGATGCTCCAGTTTTATATACAGTAGGATCTCCACAAGATCTGTGGTTTCACTTTTCTGCAGTTTGTCATGGCCCTATATAAAACATACAAGGGTATCCCCTTGTGACCTTTGTCCTGCCCCCTTGTATATTATATATAGGGGTTTCTTGTATTGCCCTATATACAACATACAAGGGTGCCCCTTGTGACCTTTGTCCTGCCCCTTGTATATTATATATAGGGTTTTCTTGTATCCACAGCTTCAGGCATCCACAGTAGTTCATGGAACCAATCCCCCACTGGTACAGGGGTCCTACTATACATTAGAGAACCATAGAGCTAATATTTCAATAGACTCCATATCTCATTCAGCAAATATATTATTGTCCAGAAAAACTTAAATTGGTTCTTTATTTGAGGACAGTTGAATAACTTTTACAGACCAAAAATACTTCATATCTACAGTATTCCGATACACACTCCGTCGCAGCCACAGCTTCCCACTCGTAAATTGTTCTGTACAGGCACCACTGAAATAGGTGAGAACCACTTAAAGATGGAAGCTTTCAGTTATCTCATCCTACGTGCAAGGATGAAGAAATATAACATTCTTTTTCTAACTAAAGAGGACACCATCAATTAAAATGCTCATATTGGCAAGAAAGGTTTTTGTGCAAGCTGCAAACCTACAATGGCTGGGCCTCTTTTCTTTCACTGACTTTGAAGAATAAAAAGCATTGGATGGGTTGTATGCAGTATATCTCCCTGAATAATCACACAGTCCTTCTGCACTTGCTCTGCCTGTGTGTATACTTCACTTCTCATAGAGAAAAGCCAATAATTGGACACAAGTAATGGGCATCTTAATGGACAAAAAGAGATCAATGCCTTGTTCTTGTGGTGAAGGTATGGAATTTCATGAGGTTTGAAAATGCCTCTTCAATTCATCAAGAAACTCCGAACCTGTAAGATGTAATGATGTAGTGAGTCTTCTTCAAATCCTTAAAGCCATGTGTGTGTTTTTTTTTTAATGGGTTATCTCTCCTAAACTTCCTGGAAGATTATGCACAATCAGGCATGATATTTGTTTAACCTGACCAACCAACTACCACGATAGATGAAGACTCCTTACATTGTATGCACAATCAGGCATGATATTTGTTTAACCAGCCAACTACCAGCCAACTACCACAATAGATGAAGACTCCTTACATTGTCTTTGAGATATGTTCAGGCTAGGACTTTTATGAGTCCCACAACCTGAAAGAATGTAATAAATGTTGCCAGCAAAACTGCCTCTCTATACTTGCAGATATTTGAACTTTACATTGGGAACAGTACACTCTTTGTCGATCTTCATTTTTACAGTGAAACTGGGGAAAGGAGCCAGTTCCCACCATCATGAATTATGTCTGGACAAACATGGAGTACCAACATAATTTGCTTTCTTTTGCTATCACAAAAAATCAATGTTGTCACAGAGCATCATATGGTGCTTCTACTAAAACATAATATATTAATGAAGAGGGAAGCTGGATTATGAGCAATATCTATTATGAACATTAAAACTGCACTGTTCAACAAGGACTAACCCAGTAACAAATGTTAATTCAAAAGATATGTTCTTAGGAGTGACAGCCGCTTACTTTTACTGCATCCAAATAGGTTGTAGACATCCAAATTACTAGCATCAGGAACACAGATGTCACATTTTGAGCCTGTTGTGAATTGTTTACATACACATTGTCCAGTCACGGCATGACAAGTCCCATTAATTGCTCCTGCAGGATGACAATTGCAATGCCGACATCTATAAATAAAAACAAACCATGAAAGTGAGGAAGGCACATTAAAATTTCCTTCTGTAGAGCTGAAACTCAGCAGCTTGTTTTGTATCACATAATTAAGTATCTAAGCAAAGTGTGCTGCTTATATACCACCCCATAGCACTCAAGCACTCTCTGGGTGGTTTACAATTTAATTATGCAGGCTACACATTGCCTCCCTGCAGTGAGCTGGGATTCATTATACTGACCTTGGAAGGATGGAAAGTTGAGTGAACCTTGAACTAACTACCTGAGCCTGTTGAGATCAAACTCAGGTCATGAGCAGAGTCTTCACTACAGTACTGCAATTTAAGCACTTGCCACAAGGCTCATCAGTATTGAAAAGCCTAAATCTATGGGCGGTACCAGAATATTAAATATTCGTATCTCTTTAATATTTTTTCTAAAGTGCATTTCATTATTTCTTCCACTTCTGATCTTAACAATGGAGCTGATATCACTAGCTTTTCATGGGAAACCTCTGAGTAAAGTTCTCTGTATCAATATTAACATCACACATGCTTTTGTATACCACAGGTCCATGGTTCAGACACTGGCATATCCAGCCATGGCTGTTGAACACACTTATCTGAAACTGGATGAGGAAGATAGCCTGTTGAGCTCACTGGATGAAAAGGGGGAATATGAATATAGCTATTAAATAAATAGTATTTCTGTTCAAACTGAGAAACAGCCATGTTCAGTGGGGACTCAAACGTGTATCGCTCAAGTCCTGGTACAGGAGCACTTCTTATATATTCTTTTGCTTATTGTGTAGCCACCTATCCTGCATCTTAGGAATGTGCACTTTGGGGGGCATGCTACAATAGCTGTGACCCAATGTCCACAATCCTGTTGTTCAGTGTATTAAGCTAGTTGGAGGCAGCAATCAGTTGACATAAATCTATGGGCGGTACCAGAATATTAAATATTCGTATCTCTTTAATATTTTTTCTAAAGTGCATTTCATTATTTCTTCCACTTCTGATCTTAACAATGGAGCTGATATCACTAGCTTTTCATGGGAAACCTCTGAGTAAAGTTCTCTGTATCAATATTAACATCACACATGCTTTTGTATACCACAGGTCCATGGTTCAGACACTGGCATATCCAGCCATGGCTGTTGAACACACTTATCTGAAACTGGATGAGGAAGATAGCCTGTTGAGCTCACTGGATGAAAAGGGGGAATATGAATATAGCTATTAAATAAATAGTATTTCTGTTCAAACTGAGAAACAGCCATGTTCAGTGGGGACTCAAATGTGTATCTCTCAAGTCCTGGTACAGGAGCATTTCTTATATATTCTTATGCTTATTGTGTAGCCACCTATCCTGCATCTTAGGAATGTGCACTTTGGGGGGCATGCTACAATAGCTGTGACCCAATGTCCAGAATCCTGTTGTTCAGTGTATCAAGTCAATTGGAAGCAGTGATCAGCTGACAGTACTAGTTCCTGTCTGTTTGGCACTGGTTAGACCTCATCTTAAGTACTGGGTCTCACTTTGGATACCAGATTTTAAGAAAAATGTGGACAAACTGGAACAAATCCAGAGGAGGGCAAGAAGGGTGATCAGCTGGAAACTAAGACTTATGAGGAAAGACTGAAAGAACTGGGCATGTTTAATGAGAAAGGAAATCTGAGGGGAGTGTGATAGCACCTTTCAAATACTTGAAATATATTCATACAGAGGAGAAGCAGGATCTGTTCTCAATCATCCCAGAGTTGAGTGAACCTTGAACTAACTACCTGAGCCTGTTGAGATCAAACTCAGGTCATGAGCAGAGTCTTCACTACAGTACTGCAATTTAAGCACTTGCCACAAGGCTCATCAGTATTGAAAAGCCTAAATCTATGGGCGGTACCAGAATATTAAATATTCGTATCTCTTTAATATTTTTTCTAAAGTGCATTTCATTATTTCTTCCACTTCTGATCTTAACAATGGAGCTGATATCACTAGCTTTTCATGGGAAACCTCTGAGTAAAGTTCTCTGTATCAATATTAACATCACACATGCTTTTGTATACCACAGGTCCATGGTTCAGACACTGGCATATCCAGCCATGGCTGTTGAACACACTTATCTGAAACTGGATGAGGAAGATAGCCTGTTGAGCTCACTGGATGAAAAGGGGGAATATGAATATAGCTATTAAATAAATAGTATTTCTGTTCAAACTGAGAAACAGCCATGTTCAGTGGGGACTCAAACGTGTATCGCTCAAGTCCTGGTACAGGAGCACTTCTTATATATTCTTTTGCTTATTGTGTAGCCACCTATCCTGCATCTTAGGAATGTGCACTTTGGGGGGCATGCTACAATAGCTGTGACCCAATGTCCAGAATCCTGTTGTTCAGTGTATCAAGTCAATTGGAAGCAGTGATCAGCTGACAGTACTAGTTCCTGTCTGTTTGGCACTGGTTAGACCTCATCTTAAGTACTGGGTCTCACTTTGGATACCAGATTTTAAGAAAAATGTGGACAAACTGGAACAAATCCAGAGGAGGGCAAGAAGGGTGATCAGCTGGAAACTAAGACTTATGAGGAAAGACTGAAAGAACTGGGCATGTTTAATGAGAAAGGAAATCTGAGGGGAGTGTGATAGCACCTTTCAAATACTTGAAATATATTCATACAGAGGAGAAGCAGGATCTGTTCTCAATCATCCCAGAATAGAGGACATGTAATAATGGGACCAAGTTACAAGAAGCCAGATTTCAGTTGGATATCGGGAAAAACATCCCAACTGATAGAGCAGTATGACAATGGAACCAATTACATCAGGACATAATAAGTGTTCTACGTAATGCTGGAGACGTTCAAGAGAAATTAGACACTTAGCCTGATATACTTTTGTTTGGATTCCTGCATTGAGCAGGGGTTTGGACTTGATGGGTTTATAGGACCCTTGCAACTCCATATTCCATGATTCTATAACTCCATGACAAATCACTGCTTGTGTTCTTTGTCTCATGCCAGTCATGTTAATTGATACACAGTGAAGAATACATGGAATGACTCATTAACTAACAGTAGTTCACTACTGCAGTTTATGATACTGAATGTATGCCAGTGTAACTAACCAATAGGATTCTGGTCTTTAAGTCAGAAATGGGAAAACTCTGGCTTCTGTATGTTTTCCATTGCAAAGATGCAATTTCTTCTCTAATCAATAGTTAGAGACAAGAAGTTATTTAAAGCCAAATTTGTCCATACTTCTATGCATGTTTTTCAAAACATATACATGCACTCTGCATAATTTTAAATTATGATCATTTCTTCAATAGAGGAAAGTATTAAATGTGCATTTTACATGTATACTTTTTCCCTGAACATTTACCAAATATATACTTTTTCATTTGCTTCTTTTTCCGCAAACATTATTCAAGCAATGAAATTAACATTAAATATATATGTTTTCTTAAAAATGGATTTACTGGGAAAAGGTCACATAATAGGATAATAGGTACCTTCTTCAAGAAAAGAGGGTGTGTGATTTTTTTGTGTTGTTTTTCAGTAACTCTTACTGTGTAATCTCTTGAGTTCAACACCCTTTAAAAGACTGATAAAAGCTAAGGCAGTGAAATAAGCTGCAAATTTGTTTTATGGAATAATATCCCTCTGGGAATAAATAAAAACATTCTCTCTTGGAAACTACAATACTGTCTCCCCTCCCCCCCTTTATAATCTAGAGGAAAGGGTATTTTCCTCCAAACTGCATTAAGTTCTTTCATCTCTTTGGAGTGTTTCATTTTAAATAGAGGTTCTGTTTAGACTATTTAAGTGTCATAATTGCACAAAATGTTTTCTGAAATTTAGAGCTTTATAATTTCATTACATACTACAACTTGGTGCTTACTCTTTGAAGAGCTGTTTAATGTGTCTCAGAAAATACTTGTAGAATTAGGAAAAGCTTCTTCCAGGTTTATCTTATTATGCATCATTGTCATGATGGTCTCTACTTCTGTTATTCCTCCATCACAGGGTTCTTTCAGATGGAGCAACTGAATTGAGTTGTCCTGAACCCCTTTTTGCAGCTTGGTTGTGGGATTTATCAGGATTTGCATCCAAACCATCAAATTCTCTTAACAGGAAGTATATCTAGCAGAAGAAGCTGGTGGAAAAATAGCATGCAGCACCAGGAGTACTAAAGTACCAAATATAAAGTGGGGAGAAGGGAAAGATCATGAGAAAAGCAGAGTGGCATCCCCATTCCCTCCCTACCCAAGTCTGCAGAGTAGCCAAAACTTAAGCTTCTCTCAAGGCATTATTTCACCTCCTTGAGCAACTCAGCAAGGAGCAGGTAAATGGCTGTGCATCTCAGTATAGCTTCTTGCAAACCCCACCTCAGCGTCTCTTACATCTCTTCTCATCTTTTCCACCTTTGTCTTTACTAGGGCATATCTTAGACTATCCTTAGGTTCCAGAATAGAAATACAGTAAAAGGTCTGAGAAGGGTCACAAAGCCCTGGAACTGATAAGAAAGGTGGAGCAGACGAAGTGAGATTAAGGCAGAAGTTAAAACCACCACTTAATGGAGAGCTGAAAAGTGTACAAATGCTCTGCCACTTGATCTGTTGTTGTTGGTGTTGTTGTTGTTGTTGTTGTTGTTGTTGTTGTTGTTGTTGTTGTTGTTGTTGTTGTTGTTGTTGTTGTTGTTGTTAAACTTCAGGCACAGTCAAAATTATAAAAACATTGACTGGTATTATATAACAGATAAAATTTTAACCAAAAACCTAAGTACCTGTTAAATATTGACACAGTATGTATGCTGTTCCTAATTTCTGAGATCTCCAACTACTTATAATAATGTATGAAATTTGTTGATATTGTTCCCAAAGCCCCAATGACTATGGGGACCACTGAAGTATGTTTCTTCCAAAGGCGAGATATTTTGATTGCCACATCTCTCCACTTTGTTAGTTTTTCCAATTCTTTATTTTCAACTCTGGCATCCCCTGGAATTGCAATGTCAACAATCCAGACATTTCTTCATTCTATTACTACTATGTCTGGTGTGTTATGTTCAAGGTGTCTGTTCGTTTGGATCCAGAAATCCCACAAGATCTCGACTTCCTCATTTTCTGACACCTTCTCTATCTGATATTCCCACGGGTTTTTGGAGGCCAGCAAGTTATACTTCTGCATAATGACCAGTGCACTAACTTCGTCACTCTATCATGTTTAACTTTGTAAACTGTTTGTGCAATCTTTCAACATTTGCTGATGAGGTGTGACACAGTTTCATCTTTTTCTTGGCAGAGTCAACATTTGCTATTAGCACTAACTCCTTAGATCTTAGCTTTCATCACGTTGGTTTGGAATGCTTGTTCTTGCACAACAAAAATCAAGCCTTCAGTTTCTTTCTTAAGGGTCCCCAGTTTTAGCCATGCCCATGTTGAATTAGAATCATGCTTTCCATTAATATTTCTCAAGTGCTGTCCATGTACCGGTTTATTTTTCCAGCTGTTTAATTTTTTTCAAATTGTTTTTGTTTTTTATTTTGAGCCTTTCTTTCTGTCGTTTTAAAAATATTCTCCCTTTTCACTGCTTTTTTCTCTCTGCTTCTACTGATATAATCACTTAGGCTTCTTTTTTAACTCCTCTACTACCTGCTGTATTTGCAGTAATCCACGGCCTCTGATTTTTCGTGGTAAATATAATCTGTCGAAATCACTTTTTAAATGTAGTGCATGATGCATGTTCATTAATTTCCATGTTTTTCAATCCAATTCTTCTAATTTGTTTTCAAACGAATCTATTATTCCAGCTGGGCATCTACTCACTGGAACCGCCCATGTGTTTATGGCTCTGATTGTATTTCCACCATTTAATTTTGATTTTAAGATTTTT